TCTAATTTTGACTGATAATAAAATAAAAAAGTTCAAAAAGTTACTCTAAATTTCGAATGATATTCATCTGCAATAAACGATAAGCAGAGGAAGGAACAGTATCAAATGTCTGAATATTCATAATAAAGAATCTAAACGCAGTGAAATTCAGCAAAAAAAGATTTATTTGTTGGTATTTCATAAAAAAATCTGACCTAGTTAATTCAGTTTTTTGAAATTTACTTTGAATTTTCCAATTATTCAAACCACAATATACCACCAACAAAATATCAACAACATATAAATATAATCTGCAATAATTTATTCTAAAAGTTTAAGCAGTTCTAAAACTTTATTCTTTGGTTTGTACATCGGTGCAGAATATTTTTTTTTTTTTTTTTTTTTTGAGCCTTTGCAGCCAAACGTCAAAAATGTTTTTTCATTTATTTTGTGATATTTAATATCACCAACAAAAGTGGATGATATAGCAACAAGAAGAACGGGAACAAGGAGAGGACTACTGTGATGCCGACGATGAAAAACCTATTGTACGATAAATGTTCTGACGTTTTGAGGGTACTCAGCTATCAGTCAATAAACCTTTGTTTGTTTAATACTCGTTTAGTCTAAATTTTGCGAACGTTTCTTTTTTGTTTTCTTTTTTCCTGAACAGTTTCAACTTTAACAGCACCAAAGAATGAACAGCAATGATGAGGGGTGGGAAGATAAGTTTTTAACTTTTATTTTTTGGAGGGCTAGGAGGGGTGTTTTTTTTTTAACACTGCACTTCATTGTAAAGACAGCTTGTTTTTTCAGTTTTTTTGGAACCTCATTTGCAACACTTTTGAACGGTGAAACTATATCAACCGATAACAGTACAGTTAGGTGAAAAGCGAACGTTTGTATTCTATCTCTGCTTATAACAAGAACATTAATCAGTATTTATTGAGAAGTCATAAAGTCGTCGACTATAACTACAAAAAACTGTTGAAGTTGTTGATGTAACGATCAGTAACATGGCTTCTTCAGATACGTTGAATAGGTGCATGCAAATAAAGTTTTCCACGAATAAAATAATGTACTGTATTATTCCTCAACTACTGAAATAAGCAAAAAGAATAAATTTGCGAAAAAAAATTCCTTTTAGAAAAAGCACCTCAATTTTTACAGTTGTTGTTGTCGCTGTTCTAATTGCCTTTTTTTCCTTCCACAACCAAATTGTATGTACAGAATTATTACGGAAACAGTTATGTATAATACCAATTTGTTAAGCCCAGAAATTAAGCTAAATGACGGATAGAGTGTTGGTAAAACTCCAACACTGATTTTCTAATTTGATAGAATTCATGTGAATTTGAACTGCTATTTGTGCACTGGAAAGCTCAGCAGAGATCAATGCTGTTGACCTATCATCTGATTTTACGGAAACAGTTCTTTTTTCCACTCACTCAATTCTTTTATGGAAAACAGTGAAACTCAGAACATAAGAAAAACGAAAACTGTTATAAGTGATAAACGCATAGGCAGGTGTAATCATCTAGTCATCAACTATTATCTCTCCTGAAGACAGAGGATTCTGATTACCCATAAACAGCGTCATCCTGCGGGGAGGTATCCACAGTCAGGAGTTAAATTCAGCATTGCCCTAGCGTTCAACCGGTCTAGATCTCTGTAGGACGTTGCATTGACGATAAACTTGTTTTCGAGTATTTTGAAGTACCTTTGCAAAAATGTTGCTGGTGTGGTTAATGCAGAAGAACGAGAAAGCAAGAAGAAGGGGAACGGAAAGGGTACAGTGAAAGAAATGGGAGGAATGAACAATGATGGTCTTTTCTATTGATACATTGTTTAGCAAATTTTATTTTGCATAACTGTTTGGTACCTTTTTTCCATAGTAAGAAGAAAAGATGCCTTTTTTTCCCCCTTTTTGGTCGATATTTCCATCGTGGTTTGCATCAGTTTATTAACTTTCATTTACCCGTAATTTAAAGTGTTGACGAAAAAAAAAAATACAGAAATTTTTTTCACATCGACTTTTTTTCTTTGTTTCTTTATTTTCTTTGTCATCATCATCATTTTCATTTGCTGTTTATTGAATGATGTGTTATCAGCGGTAACACTAACAGTCAGCACGGTTCAAAGTACTCACAATTGCTTTCAACAAATTTTTATCAGATTTAAGAACTGAATTATTTTTTATGACAATAAGAAAACCACTTTATACTTTGATTCAGTCTTAATATTTGTTATGATCTATGTGATAAAATGTTTTTTTTCCCATTAAACCTTTTCAGACGTTCATTTTTTTTTTTTTCTTTTGCCGATTTTTGTTCTCTTTTTTTTCATTGTTGTTTTCATTTGCATTAATATTTTTAGGCAGCAACTGATTCTGCGCCATTGTTGCTTTTTCTTTTTCTGTCATCATTATCAGTAATATTTATTTTCACAACATTTTTGCATCAAAAAAAATTTGTAAATATAATTTCTGCAACATATTTCAAGCATAAAATAAAATGATTACAGTGAAATTCTTGGAAAGTTTTAGAAAAGACAAATAAATGGAGGAGTTGCAGCATTTCAACAGATGATTACAGTGTTTAGTATGACCTATGAACAGCAAACTTCAATTCGGTGATGTAACATTGTAAGAAGCAATTGGTGATAATGTTTTAAAAATGTTTTCAGAACTAGACTAGCAACTATTGATTCACCACACGGTTTAGTGTTGTAGGAAAAAAAAGAAACCATTAAACCGTTAATTCCGTTGAATACATCGGTAATATTGCTGTATCCAACTGTGTAAGCGGAAAATTAACACTCTTCATTTAACGGCGTTCATCCGTTGTTTCATAGTACCGTCATGAAAAAATGCGTATGGCGGCACATTTGGGAACAGAAAAACGCTTTTGATAACTCTGTTTCGATATCATCTGACTGCTTGCTCATAACTTTATTTATGAAACAAAGGAAACTGAAGCGGTGCTATGGCCAAAAAAAAAACCGTTCTAATGACCGCCTAGTAAGGCCGCTTTGGATAATTGAATCGATGTGGTTTGACTCGCCTAACTACTTCCGTCTTTATCATTATTTCTGCCCTAAAAAACTATTGATCATCTAACCATATTTTGTATGCACTTATTTTCTTTCTATAGGTCTTCATTCAATGACTAACAGTTTGAAACTTTCGGTGCTGACTTACTAATGTTTGATCGATTATATGAAATTTGTTTTGACTTTTATTGAAATTTTGCTAGTATTTTTTCATTGAATGGGATTCTGTAGATAATCTTTTGAAGAAAATTTTCTATTCACTTCTAGCCAACATAATTGAAAATAATGCAGCGGAAGAAAATAATTGGCTTTTTGTTTTTGTCTATTAATTTGTTGAATTCAAATCTAATCATCCATCATTTGTTGATCAAATTTGTCATACACGGCACTACTGAGGATCAGAAGCAGTTTCACCACACAGTTTCAACGCAATTCTTGAGCCATAAAATAACTGTTCCTAAAAATAATGTGGTTTAAGTAGTTCAAATTGGTCCCCTGTTCTGTATGTGTACTGCAAAAATATAGTTGAGATTTTCATTAGTATTTTTTTCACC